TACGAATTCGCAACTTTCGATTTACACCAGGTACCTACTTTACTGCTAGGTGAACAGGGACTAATGGGGGCTAGGAAGTAAGTCCAAACAACTTCCACCGGCCCGGGAATCGAACCTGTGACATCTCGCTTGCGAGGCAAGAACGGTACCGCTTCTACCACCGGTCCCCTAATCCCTCACATTATCCTTTTGTCATATACTGTACAGTACAGTCAGTTCTGCTATAACGCGATAGTTGTGTTCTTGTAAAGCCTCGCGTTTTAGAAATTTGTGCAATAGAAATAACAGGGCTTATGGAGAAAATAGGGTTAGGTGCAGATTACTCGAAATAAAATAAAAATTAGTAGTTAGCCTAACACAAAGGATAGCACAGTCTAAATAAATGTTACATTCATATCTAATAATGAAATCATACAGTAAATGTTACACTTTACTGAGAAAAAATATGAATATAACTTGATGGGGGAGAAGGTTGATGTTGGAGTCATGCAGACAGGATTTGACAGTTGTCATCATCATCATGAGGTGCAGTTTTGGTTGCATGGGAGGGACAAAAAAAATGTCTAATTCCAGAAGTGGGTGGCTGTGGTTCAGTGTCTTCAGACTCGTTCAGACTGCCTCTTGTGGGTTAACTTAAATAAGACGTCTAATGTTTGCTGCTTTGCCGTCTTTCTTCTTTCACAAAGAAGCTGTTCATAAGGTGCCCAAAAAGATTTAACACCACGAACTGCAATCCTGCTCCTTTCTGCATTGTTGTCATTGTCTTCCAAGAGCTGCAACTGCTTATCAACTTCCCTCAGGATAGAAGACAAATTAAAAATTTGGTCTAAGGTGTAGCCGTCTTCCTGAATCAATTTCTTTACAGTGGGAGGATATGCCCGCGCACTTGCTTTGTCGGCACTTGCTGCTTCACCACATAACTTTACATTATGAAACGCATAGGTGTTCTTAAAACCAGAAAACCATCCACTACTAGCAGTACAGGCAATCACATCAGCAGGATTTTCAGCTTTTTTCTTTAGGACCTCATACATTGATAAGGCTTTCTCTTTAATGGTGAGGAAGCTGGTCCCAGATCGCTTTTTCGTTTGATCTTCTATCCAAACACTTAGAAGCCATTCCATCTCCTCAAGTTCCTTTGGCCGTGATCTCACACTTTTGCTAGCACTCAAGGTTTTTCCAGCAATACAGCTTGCTTTAATCTTTCCTGCATTGTCTCTAATGGTGCGTAAAGTAGACTCCTTTATTCCCGTTACACGCACAATATCACATGTTCTTTCCTTTTTTTCAAACCTCTTGACAACATCAAGCTTTTCTTCAAGTGTTATAGCCTTTCTTTTACGATCACCACCAGAAATGCGATCACCAGAACGCTTCCCGGAGTTATTCTTCTTTTCCATAGTCACAAAATTGGAGAAACGGTAATAAAAAATCACTGAGGACGCTTAAAAATTTCCCACGTGTTTCAAGCTGATCGTGTGTTATGTAAACAGAGCGCGGGTGTAAAACGCTACGTATTTTGTTTTTCTCTTATTTAAAATTTTACAATTTACATATACTGTACAGGTATACTGTATACTGTACTTAAATATTACATAAATTATTTCTGCAATTCTTCACAAACAAAACGCAAATCAATTGAACATCAATTTAGACGATTGTCGTGGACAGTCGTATGATAATGCTGCCAATATGAGGGGAAAGTGCAATGGTATGAAAGCTCATATTTTGGAGAAAAACAGTTTAAGTACATTTGTACCTTGTTGTGCACATTCACCTAATTTAGTTGCAAAATCAGCTGCTAGTGCATGCCCAGCAGCAGATTATTTATTTGATTTCATCCAAGAACTGGACAATTTTTTCACACCCTCAACGTGGCATTACGATGTCCTGAGAACAGCATTATCTGAAGGAAAGTTCCTGATGCTAAAGTCACTGAGGAAACACGCTGGTCATGCAGATATGATGCTGTCAGAGCACTTGTGTGCGGTTACTAAAAAATAGATAGTTTAGAAAAAATGGATCTGTTAAGGAGCAGAAAGACGTCATACAAAATGCTGCAAACAAACTTCATAAGCAGATGCTGAGACTGGAAACGACCTTCTATGCTGTCTTTTGGAATGACATCCTACAAAGATTCACTGTGACGAGCAAACTTAAGATCCAAAACTAATTCTTCAGTCAGCAGTAAATTCTCTGGTTTCCTTGAAATGTTTCGTTGAAAAAAAGCGAGACAGTTTTGAAGCCAATGAGAAAAAAAGCAAAAAATCTGGCAGGAAGCACTGAGTTTGTCCATTCAGGTCGTCAGAGGCGATCAAACGTACGGCTCGCTCCACTGGATTATGGACGTTCAAGTGAAGTGGATCTCGGTCCAAGAGACAATTTCTGAACAAAATGCTTCCTCACAGTCATTGATCACCTAGTGGTATCCCTAAACGAAAGGATTTCTGCGTACACATTGGTGAAGGATCACTTCGGCTTGAGTAATCTGGAAACCATGTCAGCCGATGCCATTCATTCTGCTTCAGAAAATCTAATGCAAACTCATGGAAAAGATATTGATGAAAACATCTCCAATGAAATGATTCAATTCTCGTCTCTGGTAAAGTTGCATGCAAAAGCTGCGGGTGTTCCCAATGAGTCGTTTTATTACAGAATTATAAAGGAAAACGATGGCTTACAATAGGCTTTTCCAAATGTAGAAACGGTTTTGAGGATATACAGCGGGGTATGCTATAACGAATCTAATTGGTTCTGAAACCTTGTTCGTTATAGCAGTCGTTCGTTATAGGAATAATTCGTTCCAGGCCCCCAAATACAACCACTTAACACTGAAAAATATAATATAAAATTGTAAAAATTGTAAAAAAAAAGTGCATAAATATGCATCTAAACCCCTGAAATAAAGAATATCATTAATACTTGTAATAAAAAAACAATAAATTAGTAAAAAAAAAAAAAAAAAAATTCGTTGTAGGAGTTACGTTCGTTATAGCATTCTCAATTTTATAGGTAAAACTGTTTGTTATAGGAATATTCGTAGTAGAATCAATTCGTTACAGCATACCCTACTGTATCTGGTGCTAATGGTCTCCAATTTTACCAGGGAGCGTTCCTTCTCAAAAATGAAACTGATCCAAAACAGCCTGCGGACCACGATGCGCCAGGAGAGACTCGACAATCTGATGCTATTAAGCACAGAGTCAGACATTTCAAGAGAACTTCCATTTGACAATGTGATACATTTATTTGCTAGAAAAAATCACGAAAAGTGCATTTGTAAATGAATGTATACACTTTCTTTGAATGGAATAAATAATTTGTAAATGTGTCATTATTACTAGATTTTATTGTTTTTATGGACCTTGGATATTACTTACATTTATTTTCAGTTGTCAGCAGGGGGGGGGGGGGCCACTGCTAGGTGTCGCCGAGGGCCCCTTAATCCGTCACTGAACATGGGATGTTGGTTTTCGGGGTGCACTTGTACATGTTAAGTTGTACATTATGTTATTTGGGGTCCATGCTTGATTGCAACAGAGTACATGGTTTTCTGCATCTTTCCACTTGAATGTTTGTTGGATTAAGTAGTTTCATCTAGGATGGGGGCATAAAACTTTTTCAGTACAGTACAGTTCCCTAAATTTGCTGTTTGTTAGATTTTAGAGTAATACTATACAGTACATGTTTTTCTTACCCATTGTAATTACTAGATCTTCATCTTCTGTTTCGTATTCACCTACCATATACAGTATTTCGGCAGATAAGACGACACTCGAGTCATCAAAATACCAACCCAAAACCAGGAGCCGTCTTTAGGCCAGATACAAAATGCAAAAGTTGACCCTAAAGTTCTGTACAAATTACCTTCATGATATGGGGCAGCTGTTGTAGTGTTCACAATTTTTATATACTGTATCTCTAAAATCCATATACGTACCGATATGATGTTAAACCAATGAAACCATCCATTGTATTAGAGATACTGCACTTTTTAAAGCTTTTATTACATTCTCTACTTTCACTTCATCCCATGCTTTGATCACAAACTTGCACAACACATAAAGTGATGCAACACGCATAGCCCCACTTTTTGTATAGGATTTTTTGCCATCCATCATCCAATTATTCCATTCATCATGCACATGATCTTCAAATGGCTTGTTCAGGCTAATGTCCAGTGGTTGCAGTACAGAAGTCAAGCCACCAGTTGAGTCAAAGTTGACTTCGTCATCATGACACTTAGGCAAGTAAACAATATGGTCATCAACCTTAACATACCTCTACCGAAGATAATCTACACGTGGTATTTACCTTATTACTGTATATGCCTCTGGTAACATAATTCAGGTGATTTACTGGTAATACATTGAACATGCGAAGTATTTAATACATTACACATATAAACGTATTGTAGGTTTGGTGGTCATTGACCTAAACGTTACCACAGGTGGCTTGGCAGTTCAGGGAATCATTTTATACTACAGATGAGCTAAAACCATGAAATTTTGACTGAAATTTGGGGCTCGTCTTATCCGAAGGTCGCCTAATCCGCCATAATATACGATAAATTCTGTAATTCTCCTTGGGAGTTGTTTACATTGATTAATTTAAGGTTGGTGTTCAACAACTAGCCAGTCACCTGATTGATTAGTCTAATTTTTTAACCATTTTTTCTTGTAAGCAGTTGTTCCATTCAGTTGAAATTAAAACTCGGAACTCTCGATAGTTCTTAGAATTGAGCAGCACAGTACCTGGTTTTGATTTTGGATGTGTAAGCATTTTGGCCCTTCGGTGATGGTGGTTATCAACACGGGTTGTCTTTCAACTTTGATTTGACCTTATCACCAAAAATCTAAATTCATTATTTATAATTTACAAGATCTACTGTATATACAGTACTGTCTGAGCTGATCATAGTTTTTCTTTCTTTTCTTTTAATTCTTTCACCATGTAAGCTAGACAATATTATATCAGTGACCATCTTAATATCTTGACAGAAAAGTGAGGGTGAGAAGGAGAGTCTTGAGTCATCAGTCCCCTCTTCATCATCTGTGTCAGAGACTCGGCCAGACACCCCCGAGACTACCTCGGCTCACTCGTCCTCTCCAGAGCCACCTCACACCCAAAGTCCTACCACATCCAGTCCAGAGATGTTTAAGTCACCCATCAAGCAGACAGAGTACCTCAATGGTAAATATATATTGTATTTGGTTAAGAAAAGTAATTTGTTCACAAGATGGATTGTAAAAGATTGTTGGTTCACAGCAACTGGAGAGAACTGCAGTTTGAAGGGGTACAATATCAAAATAATTTTATAAAGGAGTACTGTATACATATGTGGAATAATTAATTGAAGCAATACAGATGTGAAAGTTTTAACAAGTAGAAACCATAAGCTCTCAAAATTAAAGCCTCTATTCTTGTTTAATATTTCAAGAACTGTTACTCTTGGGTTTTATGTGTAAGCTCCTGTGCGGTCTAATTATGTACACAAGTGTGAACATTGTTTGCATGTACTGTGTGATGCTATCTTTAAGGGATTATAAAAAAGATACAGGCTTGTGGAAGCATTTATTTAAATTATGAGCTGGTTGTGGAAAATAATTCTCACCTGGGATTGTATGGCCAGTAGTGATATCTCTGTTAGCCGGAACAATCGGTGCAGAGCACTTCCAGGAATGAGAGATTTCCAGGTAACGAGACATCAAAGCTGGAAAAAATCCCTCATCCCTGGAATTTTCCAGGTACCGGAAAATTTTTCTCTGAATTTCCAGAAAATGCGCCAGATTTTCATCTCTCAAACCCGGAAAAAACTCCATCCCTGGAATATTATGGCCATCAGGAAAATTTTCTTGGAAATTTTCTGGAAAATGTGCTCCTCGGAAAATTGTTCCCGAGGCCGGAATTTTCTGGAAAATTCGGGCTTTGGGAATGATTTTCCGAGAAAACTCAATTCCAGCTATCGGAGATATTACTTCACATTAGGATATGGAGGCGGTGTAAAACAGTGTTGAATCACAAATGTTAGACATTTTAAAGCTGGTTTCTTGATACCATATACTATACCAGGTACAGTACATTATTATCCTGTGACACCTAGAAGAGGAAATAAAACATTATGATCAAAAGTTAAGTTACATCAAAACTATTGTTTGTAGATGTCGGATATTTACTGTGTGTAATATTTCAGGCCCTGATCAGATAATACCAACTGACTGCATCAAGACATGGGAACCATCTGGGGTTACAAAATTGAAGATTGGTGACCAAGGTCCATCAGCACACACCCCAGTGTCTGTCCCCACTCTCCTGAAGAAGGCTGCTGAAAAGTGAGTGGTGTTGTGCATGCTACAATTTTCAAGCAGTGATATATGTATAGCTAACTGCTCATTTGATTTGATTGATTTTGCCAAGTCTGTCCTGTTTCTTTGATAAGTTGTATAATATACTTGATTTTAAATTTGTTTGATCATGGGTATTAATGTTCTACCTATCTGCTGTTCACACATGTCATTATACTTCAATGTTTTATTATGTTTCATTATATTACATTAGTTGATGTTCATCCTTAAGCCTTCACATTTGAGTGTTTTCTGTGCACTAAAAATGTAGCTACTGTACCTTGATGATGCCATAGCTCAATGGACCATGAATTTTTTTCCTCTCGCCTGAATGTCTTCTAAAATTTCTTGTCATTTGTCATGACCTGTTCATTACAGTCTGCACTTCAGACATAAATAAGATGTTCTGCAAGATATTTATATTCTGGTTACTGTAGGTACCCCAACACAAATGCTCTGTGTGTTAAGAGAGGTGGCGAATGGAGGTACACCACCTACAGTGAATACTATGAACAAGTTCGCATTGCAGCAAAAGGCTTCATCAAGCTGGGTCTTGAACCCAACCATGGAGTGTGTATCCTTGGTTTCAATTCGCCGGAATGGTTTATTGCAGACCTGGCTGCCATCTTTGCTGGGTAAGTAGCCCACCCTCTCCTCCTCCAGTCAAATGTTGGAACTAATCTGAAATGTGTGTATGCTTTTAAAGTAAATCAATTACAGTAGTGTTACTTGCTCTATGATTAGATTATTTCCGATTTCTCTTAACTGCTTAATCCTCTCGGCCTCGGAGCCTGAGACATGTACGTTTATGAAAACTTACACTCGGCCTCGGAAGTTTTTGCCGAAAAATCAATTCAATTTCAATTGTTTATTCCTTGATAGAGGAAGCGGGATCCTAGTGCTGTCACTAGGTACCCCTGTACAATGACACCAGAAGCATCTGGCAAGTGTGACAAGTATATACAGTATAAATATTATAAAGGGGCTTACTAAAGCCAAAGGAAGGAAGGATGTTCCTTTAACACATAATCAATGTACAAAATATATGGCCAGTATGGGGAGGATCATCGTGTCTCCGTCAGGGGGTCGTGGAGTGGTGGTCCAGCAGGCGTCACAGAAGCGTTGTGTGTGGGGACATCTTAGGAGGGCGGAAAAATCATTTGTTTTTCTTTATTTTTTTCGGTGCTCATTTCACTGCCATGGATTTGTTTTATTAATTGTAATGGGGTCTCTTTTAGCATAAAGTTGTCTGAAAAATTGTATGAAATCATTAAAAAAATAGAACATTCTTGAAATTTAAGCCACTTTTTTCAAGTAGAAGTTGAGAAAGTTGGGAAATGTTTAGTAACCTCTCGATATCCATTCACATTTTCCTTGTATTATGGTGTTCATTGATATGTACTATAACCCAAATAAAGAACAGCTTGTAGCATATCGTGGTATAAGGAAAAATATTGTAACACAAACTCGTGGAATAATTAAAGGGCCAAGCGGCACACACCCTCCTCTCGCTCTGTTGGCCAGAGCGACACTGGCTCCATGCTGCACTGCCAAGCACCTGATGACCAAGACCGTCTTGGGGAAGGTAATAAGGCCCACACAAAGAAAATGACATCTGTCAAATTATTTCCAAAGTTCAGTCAGTTTCACTTAATAGTTTTTCAGTTATTTGAAAATATAGCCCAAACACATTGGCGTCGCGAGGTAGAGCGTAATTTTTTTCGCCTTTTATGTTCGATGCCACAATGGTGTCATGTGAGGCTGAGAGGGTTAATACAGCCAACCCTCATCAAATGGGAACTACTGCACCCTCATTTGCTTGTGATTGAAAAAAAATGCAACAGTTTTTCAGAGATGGAAAAATTTTAATGTTTGGCTGGTTCATTGTTGCTGGGATGAATGTTGTACAGTATGTTTACCAGGCAGGTGTACCCATGCTACACACTGTCAGTATGACTTGTGAAGTGATGAGTACTGTACAGTATACTAGTGTTTCTGATCTTAATTCCTTGATGTTTTTCCGGAGTATTACTCTCTAATTATAATGGCACCTAAACATAACACTGTACATCTGAAGAAAATCCCTACGGTGGTGATTTTAGTGCAGAAAGTGGAAGTGTTAGAGGAGTGGACAAGAATTTGAGTGTGAAAGAATCAATATTTAGAACACTACACAGTATTTATAGTTTTCAGGAAAAGTCCATGCCAGTGTGTTTGGACGACCAAAATGGTAGAAATAGAGTTTGTTTTATGTTAGTTTGGTTGAATTTTAATAAATTTTGTGTTTCATAATGTAAATGTAAATATTTTCAAAGATGTATTGTACAGTCTTCAAACACTTTCCTCTTAACTCCTGAGGCCTGTAAGATATTAATTTACTACGTGTAATTTTTCAAGATTTTAACCAGTATTCAACAAAGATAGGCTGTACAGTATTACAGGGGGGTCTCTTGGTTACGAACTGGTTTCGTTCCTGAGGACATTATTAAGTCAGATTTGTACGTAAGTCGGAACACATGCTATGTGCATACTCTGTACTTACAGAACAATGTTTAAAATCCCACTATATCATAGCCTAAGTACTTATATATATTTAAAATCACTTAATTTAAGGCAAAGGAAAAAATAGAATGACAAAATACAGCAAATAAAAGTAAGAATATGACCGAGTAAATAAAGTACTCTAAATTTAAAATTTAAGTTTAACCCCGTTCATATCGGCGGGCATTCGTAAGTCGGGGACCCCCTGTACTCTACTCCTACCAGCTTGTGTTTTCTGTTCATACATAAGACTTGTAAAACACTGGTATGAAAAAATATCAGGGTTTTAATCAAATTTTGTTTAGAAGTTGCATATTTTCTAGGTAAATTAAGAAGTGTAATAGGCATCTTGTCTGTATATTCTAGAATCATTACTCATTGAAATTTTACATGCACAAAATAATAATCTGTAAATAAGCACCATCTTTAGTGTCATGGTATTTATTCCATAGAACCCAAGCTTGGGAATTCTATTTATATGGGAGAAGTAATTGACCTCTTGTGTATTTATTACAATTAATAAAACCTTGGTACAATTTGTTCCTTCATTTAATAGTACAGGTAATTGATTTAGGCTTGAAGAGGAAAAGCAACATGTCTTGGGATCTGGCTTTATTTAGTTTATTTAATGTGCATACATATTTTGTTTACTTATTAAACTCATTTTCAGAGGATTTGCTGCAGGCATCTATACAACAAACTCTCCTGAAGCATGTGAGCACTGTGCTCGCAATTGTGAAGCACAAATCTTTGTGGTTGAAGATCAAAAGCAATTAGAGAAGGTACTCAAGATTCGAGGGCGTCTACCTACGCTACATACAATTATCCAGTACTCTGGCAAGCCAACCGTCGAAGGTGTTCTTAGCTGGGAGAACGTTATGGATCTGGGTAAAGAGCAGCCAGATAAAGCTCTAGAAAACAGGTTGAGACGAATTGCAGTCAATAAGTGCTGCACTCTAATTTATACCTCTGGTACCACTGGTCTACCCAAAGGTGTTATGCTCAGCCATGACAACATCACTTGGAATGCACATGCCAACTGTATTAATGGAGACTTTCATGCTGGCAGAGAGACATTAGTAAGCTACTTGCCATTGTCCCATGTTGCTGCACAAATGGCTGACATTTATGTTACCATGTATTCAGGTGCCTCTTGCTACTTTGCAATGCCAGATGCCTTAAAAGGCAGCCTTGGTCAGACCTTGAAGGAAGTAAAACCAACCAGATTCTTAGGTGTTCCACGCGTGTGGGAAAAGATATACGAGAAAATGATGGAAGTTGGTCGGAAAACAACTGGGGTGAAAAAGTCAATTGCTACCTGGGCTAAATCACTTGGATTGGAAACAAATATGCGCAAACAAAGGCAGGATTTCTCAAAGCCATTTGGATATTCAGTAGCCAATGCTATAGTTTTTAAGAAGATAAAAGGAGTGCTAGGACTCGATCGATGTGAACTTTTCCTCTCTGGTGCAGCACCAATTGCACCAGAAATTGTCAAATACTTCCACAGCCTTGATATTCCTCTTACAGAAATCTACGGTATGTCTGAATCAAGTGGTCCCCATACTATAGGCTTGGAGAAAGCCTTCAAATTGGGCAGTTGTGGGCGTACTGTTCCAGGTTGCTACACAAAGTTAGAGAACCCAGATAAGGAGGGTAATGGTGAGGTGTGCATGGGTGGTCGCCATATATCCATGGGCTATATGAAAATGGAAGAGAAGACGCATGAGGCTATTGACGATGAAGGCTGGCTCCACAGTGGTGATATTGGCCGACTTGACGGTGATGGGTTTTTGTTTATTACTGGCCGTATTAAGGAAATTATCATCACTGCTGGTGGTGAAAACATTGCTCCTGTGCTCATTGAAGACAACCTAAAGGCTGAATTGCCTTGCCTCAGCAACAGCATGCTTATCGGTGATAAGCGGAAGTTCCTCTCTGTTCTCTTGACTTTAAAGGTAAGAATATTTTCTTGAAGGTATTTTTTTTGTAGCATTGGATATAGTTCAAAACTGAGGGAGAATGGATTCACATTTGGGAAGATTGCAAGTTTAATAGAGGGTGACAATTAATGATGAATAGCCTAACTTCAAAATAGCAGCTGCAGTACAATTGTAGAATATTTTAAGCAGCTGCAAAATGTAACAGATGACAGGCAGAGCTAACCGACTTGGATTGTTGAGGAATAGAATGCACAAGACTACTAGAGTGATTGAGAGGAAGTGAGACAAGCTGTAAGTAAGCTTAAGAATGGGTTATGTGAATGAATGGAGTTGCTTTAAAAAAGTTAATTTACATAATTCTAATAATAAAAGTAATTGTAAATTATTGGTAGCTAATTTTGTTAGTTTTGTAATTAGCTTGTCCTGAAATGTAAAATTTGAGGAACTACAAATCTTTTGCAGACTGAGCTGAATCACGACACTGGTGAACCCTTGGAGGCACTGACTCCGTCTTGCATAGAATGGTGTCGCAGTATTGGATCATTTGCCAAAACCATACAGGATGTGTTAGCAGGGCCTGATGCTAATATCATGAGATCAATTCAAGATGGCATTGATCGTGCAAATAAATTGGCTCCATCTAATGCTCAAAGAATTCAAAAATGGACCATTCTCCCCAAAGACTTTTCCTTGCCTGGTGGAGAGCTTGGTAAGTTTAAAAAAAAAAAAAAAAAAATATATATATATATATATATATATATATATATATATATATATATATATATATATATATATATATATATATATATATATATATATATATCAATAATGAAAACGTGGATAAGATAAATCTTGATAAAATCACACGGGAAAGGGAAACAACGAGCACCTTAGCTTTCGTCTTTATTCAAGACATCTTCAGAGGCAACTGGATTACATGGACAGAGAGAGGCTTAAATATATAGGGTGACCTTAAAAACATGAGGTCAGGTCATAATGATGTCATCCACTAATCCCCACACCAACACACACGTAGAGGAGCTTAAGAGAAGGGGGGTGACGTGACTAGTCAGGTCAGGTCAAAAATAAGGGACCCACTAAATAACTATCATACATCTAGATCAAAGGTTTTCAAAGCATTTTTAACCTTGGGCCACTGACAAATAAATTTATGTAACATATCAGTTTTGAACTGACCATCACTAAGGTTTATTGATTTTAATTCCTTAATCAAACTAGCTTCAACCAGAAGTCTTTCTGTGACACAAGATGATTTAAATACTTCTAAGCTTTTTTCCCAAGCAATGGGATGATTATTATTCCTAACATGAATGAACAAGGCACTGCACTGTACTTATGTTGTTTGATTTTGAGCTGCACACACACACACACCCTCCAACAGACACACACACCCTCCAACAGACACACACACATTTTCTCTCTCTCTCTCTCTCTCTCTCTCTCTCTCTCTCTTTCAATGGCTCATGTCCCAAAGCTTCCAAGCATGTATCTATTATGTGAATCAATGTTGGTCACAGTATTATTACACCAGTTTTAGGTATTGTTATTAATCTTGAGTTTTAACATTTACAGCCCTACTATTTGTTAGGAACCATAATACAGTAATGTGGTTTTAGCTGTTCCTTCTATATGGATAGCATACGATCTAACACCCTCCAGGTAGAATATGGTGTCGGTAATGTTGTATCTGTAACCGATAGGTTTTTATGATACATGTTGACCTTTTGTAGTCTTCTAAAATAGCATCTCTTACTTCAACAGGACCAACCATGAAATTGAAACGGCCAGTTGTCTCACAAAAATACTGCGAAACCATAGAAAGGTTTTATGAAATCTGAACAAATCTGTAAGTTATGACTGATGCTTGCAGGCATTTGTGTGATGTAGCTCAAATTTTTGTGATGTGGATATATTTAACATGGATTTTCTCATGTAATTAACTTTCTTCAGGAAATGGTTTGTAAACACTGTATTTATTCTTTAAAAGGCATTAATTCTAACAGCAAAAAATCTCATGGTGCATTTAAACCTTATACAGTATATGTAAAAATATTAACTGATCTTGCCATATGCCATTTCATGCAGTGCCTTGTAATAAAAAGTTGGTTATGGATTGGAATGGCAATGTATATGTGTGATGTGATACGTCTTGCAGGGCTGTGTGAATCTTGTAATATAGGTTGTATTTTTAATTTCATTAAAACAATGTGCAATGCAAGTCCCAGTTCAGTGTATGTTGTAAATACTTAAATGCACGAAGCTGGGACCAGGTATGTCATAAAGCCATTCTCAAAAACTGTCGTCAGATTTGTGTTGCTTAACTATTCATCAGAAATTAGTGGAAGAAATAATTGAAATTGTAATTATTTGGAGTACATTTCAAAAGTAATACTGTATGAAGAAGCACAGGAAACAAAAATACTTCCCAAGTTTTGGAGATGGTTGTTTGATACCTTTAATTATAGGAAAACTTAACTGGCCTTCATACAGAGCAGTTGAGTTCTAATATTGATGAGTATGACCAATAGATAATTTTAGGGACAAGAAATTTAAGTACTTATGTTAAAGTTTAAGGATTGTAATTAAAATGTCATGTAAAATCACCAACAAAATACTGTACTCTAGACATGTCTGGTAGCATCTGAAAAAACAGACATGCATAAAGGCCAAAAGTCATGCCTTGCTTTATAGAACACGGGATAAGAGACTGAAACTTTGTGACACGATCTGAATGTCTGTATCGGTACAGTACAATAGTGCTACCAGTAGCGTTGAGAGTACTTTGTTGGCTACTGTACCAGCTGTTAGTGTGATACTGTTTGTAATGCTGATCTTGGAGAATTAAGAAACTTATTTATATTTGGAAAGCACATGCTATTGGCATGATAATCGGTACATTTATGAACAAAAGTCCTGTTGCCTCTTATCAACGAACCCCAAGATTCAGACACTGATGAATTATTCTGTCCATAAATGCTTCAAATTCTAAGGGTTCTTGAAGCAGCAGAAGAGGCAACAGGACTTTTGCTCAGAACTGTACATGACTGCACTCCTATTTATGCTGCCAGATATGATGCAAATTTATATCTTATGTATCATACTATACTGTATATATGGATAATCTTAAGTAAATGAAAAGCAATTTTTGATTGTTTTTATTCCAAAATTAATACAAATTGTTAATACTGACAGACTTGCCTCTCCCACAGAGTGATCAAATCCTTGCACCACCCATTTTATAAGGGGGTCTCATTTAGGAGAATTTTTTTTTTCTCTGGCAACATGTATCTATGTACCAAAGGTGAGTTTAATTCAGTTGAAAATACAGTAATGAAATATGAGGTTGAAAACTGTGTAACTGGCACTCCCAATGCTTACTACAGCAGACGATGGAAGTCCATATTAAGGAACTTTTAATGCTTTGTCACATGAAATGAAAATTCAAAGCAATTTTTTTTTTCATAACTTTTTATATATTTGTCTTTCTTGCTGTAAATATACTGTACATTATCTTCTACAATGGCGTTCATGTGTGAATCCCACATTAGTGACCAATCATAGGCCACAATTTATTGAAATGGTTAATTTTATTAAATACTGTATATACAGTGGTCCCTCGGTTAACGAGATTTCGGTTAACGAGTTACCTTCCATAAGATTCTTAAATTCGGTTAATGATCAATCCCTCGATTAACGAGTTTCTTACGAGCCGACCTCAACATGTTTTCGCTTGCATTTGGCGGTCCACCAGCTGTAGCATTAGTCCGCCAATACAGTAATCGGTTCTAGGGCTTATATTCCTTACCATTTTAGTAAATATCAAGAAGTTTATACTGTTCAATAATTTAAAAAGTTTAACATTAAATTTTGTAATAATTTTAACAATTATTGAACATAATTGAAGGTAATGAAACTAGTTTTATGCGCACCACCCAGCTTGTCAACACACCAAACAGGCGTCAGTCTTTGTGTCTTTACATTGGAGGTAACATCTTGCTTGAGACTCTTCAACTAAATGCTTTTTTTCTGTGTTTGCAAGCAAATTATTGGTCATTTTGAAATTTATTTTACATATTGACAATATATAATGCAGTGCAGTGTTGATTTAAGGAAAATAATCTTGAATTACACCAAGAGAACTAAAATTTTATGGGTGAAATGGTGCCATGGGGTGACTTCTCTTCCACCCCAATGCCTTCTCTTCTCCCTTCTCCTCCACCCCCTTCTAATTCCCATCATCATCATCATCCAGGAGCCTTCTACATACACACCTCAAAGCAAGTGTACTTTTCTACCTTTTTCGTTGAATTTAGGCAATTTTCGGTGAGCTGGAACCAATTACCCAAAAACCCATTGAAACAATGGTTTCGGTTAACTAGTTTTTCAGTTAACGAGCACCCTTCTAGAACGGATTGTGCTCGTTAACCGAGGGACCACTGTACATTACAGTAAAGTTGCGATAATCTGCGAAATACAAATTCGTGGGCACTGTTCCTATATTATTACCTCTTAAATTTTGCAGTTAAATACCCTGTTTTCATACGTAATTCATGGCCAAGCGCCGGCTGCAGCAGTGTTTATTTACATAAGAAACCTTAAAAGTTGTGGAAATATAATTTCAATGCTTTAGTTTGAATTTGAAATAAAAAATATAATATAAATACAGAAAATATATGAAACAAAATAAGAATAACGAGAAGTCGGGAGTGAATTGTATGGTGGGTGGCTGGTGGACTGACAATCTGATTTTTCTATACAACATCTGCAATCTCACTACAAAATTTTGTGACTTAGAAATACAGAAATTATAAAGTTAAACCATAAAATGAAAATATTGTAATAAAAAAAGATCACATCTGTAATTGTGTGTTATTAAATTATTGGTTCTTCGCTGACTGTGGTCACAGCCAGGTTGACGCTGGGCTGTTTCCATGATGGTGTACTGGTATAACCCACAAAATTATAGGGGAAGGAGCTGTTTCTGTAGTATAGAACTACTTTTTGTACAATATCTATGCGCTACTGACATTATGTATTCTATACAATGTTTAGTGTTTATTAAAGCAGTTTTAGAAGAGTTCATGGGTATTTTTTGGCCCCTGGAACCAAAATAATTACACGTATCCTTCATTTAACAATGGGGATGCATTCCTAAAAACCCACCGCTAAACAAAATGATAGCTATACGAGGGGAAATAAGTAGAATTTGTTATAATAAAAAAATCCGATACACTACAGTACTGTAACCATCGCAATCCATGTCAGAAGCAAAATCATCATGTATCCTCTTTGAGGCTGGGCCTAGATTCACTGTCACAGCTAAGTTAAGGAGTTCATAAACGCTGGGAGATCTGCAGTCCCTACAAACTACCGTAAGAGCGATTTACTAAGGGTTCGTAACTATACCGTGGTGTTCGTACAAACTCTGGCATTAGTTCGTAAAATGCCAACAGCTGGCGGTGATGTTTGTTTATTTTTTCTTAGCCAACCACTGCGACTGATACATAACTGAGTAGGAAACGTACGCCAATCATGTCAACATTAGACCCCATAGGATGCACTTGTGATCACCTGACATTTGAAGAGGAAAATAGGGTAAATTTGGATGACACCCGGCATCGATTTATATTTCGACAACGTGTTTTTCCGATTTATTTTTTGGTTGCGAAAATTTTTTATTATGACATTTCCAATACAAATTTATACTTTTAAGAGTATTTTACACGATAAAACCTCGCCAATTACCCAAAATATTGATTGCTTAAAGTGGACGGCTTTGAAGATGTGGGAAAATGTGGGGTTAAATACCAAAAAGAACACCAAACAAACCTTTGAAAACCTTTTTTAGCCAATAAAAAGGTTAAAAATTGCTTTCGAGTTCATGGATCCCCTCCTTAACTGAACACTGAAAACTACACTACAGTATTACCCCGCTTTAAGCGGTTTCACTTTCCGCGATTTCTCATTTACGCGGTGCCTCGCCAGAACCGAACTTTCACTTTCCGCGGTGCATCTACCCATATACGCGCAGAGTGTCTGGCTCGACACTATTTTTAGATTCGACCCTCCCGCCTGCTCCCGCTTGGGCAAGCCGCGCGGTAAGGTTGCGCAGTGCATGTCTCTATTGCGTTATCAGTGACGTTATAGGACGTATTGGACTGTGATTGGCCATGCATCCTTACCTCCCTCCGCTGCTAGCTGTGATTGGTTTAAAGTAATATGACGTGTCCACCCGCGGGAGGGAGGGAGGAAAGACGACACTTGACCTAACCGCGGCAGTTTCATCCCTCCAGGCCACACCGTGTATACGTGCATCCATTGTTCTGTGAAATGGCTTCCGCCGGACCACCGCTACCAGAGAGAAACCTTTCCTTACCTGGACCCAGCCGCCCTAAGCCAAAGAAGATACGACGTTCCCTAAGCTACGAAGTGAAATACCAGATAATTCAAGATTTGGAGAAAGGAACACGTCAAGCTGATCTCACGCGCCAGCATGGAGTCAACGAATCTACGATTCGTACTATTAAGAAGGATGCAGCCAAGATCAAAGAGCACATGAGAATCACAAAGTCTGCAGGTGCTTCAATGATCAAGTATTGCCAGAACAAGGTGCTGCTAAAGGTGGAAAATTTGCTGGTGAGTTACTTGATTCGTCAGGCGCGACGCAACATGGCGGTGGACATACGATCCGTTCAAGAGTACGCACGTGAACTGTACGCAGCAGTGTCACGTAAGATGGGAATTGCAGAGCCCAAACCCTTCAATGCTTACTATGGTTGGCTGCATAGGTTTAAGAAGAGGAACAATATCACCAACATCAACATTGGTGGTGAAGAAGCGAGTGCTGACCGTGTGGCGGCTACAGATTTTCCTCCGATCTTACGTGAAGTTATGGAGGAAGGGCAGTACACTGACGACCAGGTATTCAACATGGACGAATCCGGCCTATTTTGGAAAAAGCTGCCTACCAAGACCTTTGTTGTCCAGTCTGCCAGCAAGATTCGGGGTTGGAAGTTGCAGAAGGAGCGCATCACCGTCCTCTTTACCACCAATGCCTCCGGTACCTGTAAACCAAAGTTATCGGTGATTCACACAGCCCGCAAGCCGCACGCCTACAAGAACGTGGACATGAGCAAGATTAATGTCCACTGGCTGACCGCACGCAAGGCGTGGATGTTCTCTACTCTGTCCCTCTCCTGGTTTGATGACTGTTTCATTCCCGACGTGAAGAAATTCTGTGAGCAACAAAATGTTCCATTCAAGATTTTGTTGCTCCTTGACAACGCACCAGGACACTCGCCCCTACTTATGGATTGTCACCCCAACGTAAAAGTGGTCTTCCTTCCTCCCAACACTACGTCATTAATCCAGCCCATGGACCAGGAGTTGATCTGCAATGTGAAAGCTGCATACTCGGCAAAGAAATTCAAGCTCCTGAACGACTGTACCAACACCAAGGATGAGTTGCGTAAGCTGGGTGACACCGATAGCGAGAGTAAAAGCGACGAGGACAAGGAACACGAGGTAGTGACTCAAGAAGTTCTCGTCAAACAGTTTTGGAAAAAATTTAACGTCAAACAAGCTGTAGACTTCTTGGTGGAGGTATGGGATCAGCTGTCTATAGCTACGATTCGTCACGCATGGAGGCATGGTATACCAGGTGAGAGGCAGAGTCAACCTGTGACTGGTGAGGTTCAGTCTGTGACTGGCATGAAATGAGTGCCGACGAGATGTTGGAAGATGATAACGTCAGTGAAGAGGAAGGTGGTGCGTCAATCCCAGAAGAACACAAATAACGCATAGTAATATTAAGGGTGCCATCAAGTGTGCAGAGAAATTAAAGCTCTTCCTTTCCAATGACTGACGATGACCGCTATGAAGTCTTCCATACTGGCTGGTGCAGGCTATGGAGCCGTACATCAAGGTGTATCAAGACAACATCAACACTAGCCGTCAAAAAAGCATTACCGAGTTCTTCGCCCGCAACCCACCACAGCCAGCCAGAGCCAGTGATAGTGACAGTGAAAGTGACTGAGGGATTTGTTAGGGAGGCCCTGACAACTATGACTGATAGTGATGGTGATTCACTTAGTAATGGTGATTCACCTGAGGGCCAGCAATCTGCCCTCTGCCTCGGAACCAGC